AGAGAGAGAGAGAGAGAGAGAGAGAGAGAGAGAGAGAGAGAGAGAGAGAGAGAGAGAGACAGACAGACAGACAGACAGACAGACAGACGGACAGGCAGATACACAGACAGAGAAGAAAAAGAAGAAACGGTTTAAGAAGTTTAAAAGTTCAGGAAAAACGTTTAAAAGCTTATTGAGTACATATTTGCCCAAACCTGATTTTATTTGTTAGGGAAGTGGCATGAGGTCTACTAGTTATGGTTCACACACTCATGATGGGAGTGTACACATCTCTCCCTCTCTCTTAAATCACTCATCTGGACGCAGACACATGCTTGTGGAAGTGGGTGGTATGCAGCTGGCTTATAGCAACCATTGCCTCTGTCAAGATTCACTTTGCTTTGGTGGCATAGTGGAGACTAGACCTTTGCTTGGATAACCCTGATGAATGCGTTCTCTGTACACCCTTGTCACCTGCTTATTGCATGACACTAATGCCAGAGAGGGCTTGAATTTTTTATTTTTTTTGGTTTTTGGGTTTTTCAGGTTAGATTAGCATGCGGTGATTTCGATTTTAGTGACGCTGGCATCATCCCTGAAATTGCAGACTCATTGTTCCTTAGTTTGTTTTTCTTATGGTACTGGTATGACTTCCGTAGCGTTTGTCCTTCAATTCCAGCCCCGATCAAGGGACACTGCATGCCTCAAATGTCTGCGGTATGAATGGAATGGGGTTTTCAGTGGTCAGGTGTAGTATGTGTATTGGTCTTCCAGGGCTCAGCCGAATATTTCCGCTTCATCAGCTGTCTTGGCCTTATGGTCTCGAATATAGTTGTGCCCTTCTTTCTTTTCACTTGTCATGGGTGTTATCTGTGTTTCCTGATGTACGTCTTTTTTTTGCGGTTTGTAATGTTATGATTTTGAAACCTGGCTCTCTCTGGAGCGATGTATTTCGTGACATCGTAAATTGAGGGGCAAGACGATCTTTTTTAGCATGGCCTATCTATAGTCCTCCCTTTTAAGCATATTCTTGTTCCGCCCGTCCTTTTCCATGCTCTTCCAGTCTACAGTTATGCAGCCATATTTGTAAGGACCTCATCCTCAATTACATAGATGTGTTTGGCGGAACTTTTTACCTTATGCTTTTCCTCTCTCCTACTCTCCTGTCCTCCTCTCCTCTTTCCTTCATCCCTATCCCCGCTCTATTGAGTGAGAAACTGATCAATATACTGGAGGTGAATTGGTTCTGGCATCTGTAAGGCTCTGGCAATATGCACATGCACACAAACACCTGCATCATTGTTGGATTGGTTCATCCCAAGTGTGCTTCATTATCTGCAATAGAGGTCAAGCTGCTTTGATTGTGGATGTACTCATCTGGTTGGAACAGGGGCTGTTGTGGTGAAGATCTAAAACACACACCTGCGTGTGTCCTCGTTAACGGATGCATACATACACTCATTCTCTCTGTGATGGTTTGACTTGTGGGCATCCTTTCTCTCTCTCTGTCATGCATGTGTGACGTCTCTCTCTCTCTCTCTCTTTGTGGTTCACACATGCACACCCATACACTTACATGCATGCTCATGAATGGCTGCGCATCATCTCAAATATCACTTATGACTTGATGGAAGATCATAAGGTAAGGTTGTGTCAATTTTGGATCTACGCATCTGGGTGGATAAGGGGTTGTTCTGGTGAGAATATACCGCACCCGCACACTCTCTCTCATGTACACAATTGTGAACATCCCTCTCTCCCTCTCTCTCAGATGCTCATGCGGGCATTTCTACCTGTCTCTCTCTCTCCGTGGTCGACATACGACACAATCGTGAGCATCTCTCTCTCTCTCTCTCTCTCTCTCTCTCTCTCTCTCTCTCTCTCTCTCTCTCTCTCTCTCTCTCTCTCTCTCTCTCTCTCTCTCT